TCTCAAATTGCTCGTCGAGGGTCTTGGAGAATCCACTCAGGGATTTGGTTGCCGTGCTATTCACTGGGCTCTTGGGCTACTGTGTCTGAATCAGCGTGTTGGCGCAATCGACTGCGGATGGAGACTCTCTAGGCCTTTCTCTTGTCTATGCCCGGGGCTTTCTTGTTCCATTCAATGCACAGTGAACAATCTACGTGGAGGCGTATAGAGACTCGGCGCTAACTGCATATTATACTGTGACCTAATTTGTATCCAGGGGAAGTGGGAAATTTCCGACGCCTGACTCAGCTGTGCTGCACCGCCTTCGCTCTCTTCGACTCGAGTCAGGGTAATGCAGTGACTTCTCGTTTGTTCATTAATGGTGGCAATGTGATAAGATTGGGTGTGAAGTTCAGATTGAGTATTAGGACTATTACATGAGTTTCTCGCTACAAGTGCACTACTACGTATGAGATAACATATGCGAAACAATGAGAATACAATCCAGAGAAATGGGATGAGTTTATGCAAATAAATGTGGAGACATGGGGATAAGCAGAATGCGAGAGACGGAATGTAATGTGGTATGGGGTTGTGATGCTTAGAGGATGTGAAGATGAATGGATTATGGGGAACAAAGACAAAGGAAAAGGGAAAGCAAGTGGTGTGAGGGGACAATGGAGGGGGGGATAGGGGAAAGGTTGTAGCAACCAGGCGCTGCGCGGACGTCATGATCTGAGCTGCATGCGGAACGAGGGTTTCTCGTCGCTAGCTGACTGTCGCGAAGTCTGGGTGATCCCAGCGAACGGCGATCCACGACTTAGTAGATCTGCGGGCCGCCGAGGAACTCGGACGTGTTGCGTTTCCCTCAGGCCGGCGCCCAGGACTCCCGGAGCGGGCGCAGTAGCATTTGCTAGTAGAGTCACCGCAAGCCCTTGGCTCTCCTTCTCAGAGAATTTGGATAGAGTGATGTATTCGGCCGCTCGGCGGAGAACGTCGATGCATCGCACACCCTCAGATCGCTCGATGAGGATGGTGTTGGAGTGCAGTGACTGGGAGGATGTGCAATGTGCAATGTCGATTGATAGTGACAGCTGGCGCACTGGTGGATGGGTCGCGGGTGCGCGGAGGTCGACTTGGGATAGGTGGCGTTCCGGCAAATCAGGGGGCAGCTGAGTGAGATCGATGGGTATGGAAGGTCGGACGAGGAAGGGATTCAGACGGAGTGATGATGAGCCGGAGGAGAAGGAAGAGTATGAGGGTGAGGGCGACGACGGGATATAGGCGGACGATAGCGATGATAGGGAGGAGTGCGATGAAAGTGCTGAGGGTGTCCGAGTAGGATATCCGCGGTGTGAACGAGTAGATGAGTGATTGGAGGACGTCGCAGACGCTCCACTGGCAATCACATTGTGGTATGGGTAGTATGAGGACGAGCTCATGCCTGCTTCGTCGTGAGCTTCCATCCCTCAGTACTTGAAGGGACGAGGGGAAGGCTCACCAGCGACCCGAGACCCATAGTACGACGAGGAAACTGGAGGTAGTGGAATGGTGGGTAGTCGTGGGGTGGGGGGCGGGTAGTGTGCGCAACCACCGATGCAGGTGGGGCAGGCCACCATCGAGTATGCAGGGGGAGGGGAGTTGGCAATTGTTCGAGCGGGCATTGTAGCAGTTGTGAGCTGTTGGATGTGGAGAGGAGAGTAAAGCACCAGCTACTGGTGACTTGGAGTCTTATAGGAGCCGTCCGCAGGCTAGTCATATTCATGAGAGAGGCGGTGGGTCCACCAGGGTAGTCACTGCATTCGGTAATTTCGAAATTGGCCGGTTTTACGTAATCTCTGCTTTCGGTGCCGCAAGCTCGCTAAGGAATGCTACTGCTGCGTTCCGCAATCTTCTTAGCTCTTCTACGCTGATGAGTTGTCTTGACACGTCTTCAAACCCTGCCTTGGCTGCGAAGATCAACTGTGCGCAAATCAATCTTTTAGTCAAGACTCAGAGTCGTTCAAATTCGCTCTCACGACTCCAAAGAAGCCTTATCATGACTCCGGGGTCGGGTTTTGCCCGCGGTTGGGTAGACTGGTATAAGCCGATGATAATCCTAGATTCGGAAATGAGCTCTTGAGATTACCACGAATGTTCAGAGGCGCGCGAGAAGAGCAGAGCCTTCAGTCGTTGTGCCAACCAAATCCGTCAGCCATGAGAACCGCAACCTCACCAACCCCGTCACCCTCGCCCTCATCCAGATTTCCAAGATTCGTGCAACGGCATATGTCGCTCAGTGTGGTTGAACACGAGGATATGTTGTTGTGCTCCTAGAATGCGTAGTCAGACAACTCAGGATAAGAGGAACGGGATCATCAAGACGATCCGGAATGACGATCCAATGGAGCGACAGGGATAAGGCGGGAGGTGGTAGTCAAACAGAGTATACCCAAATTCGATTGCTTTCGATCGAAGTCACTGTATAGCCCCGATGTAATCCCTTGGGAACGAGGCCGATGATTGGTGAAGTTCCGAAATCTTGCTGTTAGGAGTAATTCCGTCGGATTGCCGCGCGTGTTGGATGTGCTTTAGCTCACCGGAGCCTCGTGGAGATTTCGAGATCTGTTGATGTTCCACCGAGTGCTCTCGAGGTGACACCGTGCTCGATGCTTGAACTGCAGCTACACGTGTAACATAGCCAAGTGCGTCTGTGGAGACCGACGGGGAGAAAACTCGAGGCATTGTGGAGATGAGCCTTGCGGAATGGAGAGGTCGCCCAAACATTCTGAGTATTCGCGACGATGGTACCTCAGTGGAGCAGGGTCGAAAATGACGCAAAAGACCCGGGCCAAAATGAAGAAGGCGGCCGGCAAAGTGTTAGCCTCATGCGTTTCCATAGCATCGTGTGGTTCCCCCTAACGGCGGATGGCATCGATTGCAGACGTACCAGGCGTCTACTCGGCAAGATCACCGCCACGATCCCAGATTTCTTTTGGGTTTGCATCCGATAGGTCAGATACACGTTTCCTCGATAATCAGTAATTCATCACCGACGACGCCGACCCTAGATAATCTTTGCTGCAATAAGGGCGGACGGAGCAAGAGGTGGCATTTACACGTGTGGCGATATCAGATGGATGCGTTGTAGTAGAACGTTTTGCAGGAGTGCGCGATGTCAAATGGTTTTTCTGGAGAAGAGTATCCACGAAAATCGCGAGCTTCGAAACTGTCGTAATCATCCTGAGAAAACCGATGACAGGGGCACCTGGGCGAACACGAGGATCTTAGACGCCGAAATGAATTTCACGCTGCGCGCATGGCATCGAGGGGTAAAGAAAGAAGGGTGCCGGTAACTTGAGAACTGAAAGGATCAGTGAGATCACTCGGAGTCTTTCTCATTGCGAGGAAATGAGTGCATGACAGGCACAAGAGTCAAGTCTAGAGTGAGAAGGATGAGTGTGTGAAAAAGCACTGGCTCAATGAGTCTAGCTCCTCCTAAGAGTGGATATGACATTTTCATATCGTTATTGAGAATAATGACAGACGACGTCAGGAAACGTGGTCTTGGAGTAGAGGCGCCGAGTAGAAGACCGAAGGAGCTGACGCCTGAGTTCTCGGCCTTGAGAAGGCACTTGCAACGTTGTTGGTGTCAGGAAATCAGAGTATCGATGACGATGCACGGGTCCAGGAGATGCAAATGTCGGTGGCAAAACGAAGCCCAGAGTGAACCTGCCACTGGGCGTCTCGGCGGCCTTCACAGCATTGAACGCGTAGAGTCAGGGAATATGAACGCGAGGCGACATGATTCCATGGTTGAAATCGCGTGCTTACTGTGGATGGGAGCAATGATGCAGTCGTGCACCCACTGGAGGCAAGACTGGAGGCTCAATGAAAGTGGCAGTCAGGATGACGGTGTACAAAGGACAACAAACAAAAGGATAATGGAACGATCACATGACTTGCCGACGGCATCGATTATCTTTCGATTTTCTGGGTACTTCCGAGATTATCTGATCTTCATCAGCGCCGCTAACGGAGTAACTTTCGCTGTTAGTTGTGACGCAAGAATGCTGAAAATACCACTTACAGAGCTATCCATCCCGTCCAGCTCCCGATCAAGGTCATTCGCCAGCACACGACCATGTCCAACGATGTAGGGACCGATTCCGAATCTGTGCCTTTAGAACCTAATCAGAATGTAATGCTAATCGTCGTCATGGTTAGTCTTGGTCTTGTGCATTGAGCTTTGACTTGAAGTGCTAATCGTGGAGCTCCGGAATTTTATCAGGGAGTCTCGGCTTGTGGAAAGTCGACGATCGCCAGCGAGCTCGCTAAGAAACTGGATATTCCAGAAGTGGAAGCCGACGAGCTCCATCCCAAGTCCAACATCGAGAAGATGTCCCATGGTCATCCTCTGACTGACGAGGACCGTGAACCATGGCTCGAATTGGTTCGCAAGAGAGTCGAGCACGTCGCTGCGGAACAGGAACATTTCGAGGGGAGAGGCAAAGAGGGCAGAAAGGGAGTTGTGGTGGCTTGTTCGGCGTTGAAGAAATATTACCGCGATATTCTGAGAGGAACGGAGAAGCCTAGATCAGTCCCCGAGCACATGGATCCACCTCATCCCAAGCTATTGCCTACCTACTTCGTCTTCATCAGCGGAAGCAGGGATGTGCTATGGGACCGGATCTCCTCGAGGAAGGGTCACTTTATGAAGGCAGCGATGCTTGACAGTCAATTGGCGACTTTAGAAGATCCTACCGGGGAGGATGGGGTAGTTGTCGTTAGGCTGGAGGATACAACGGAGGTGCAGGTTGAAACTGCTATCGAGGGCCTGCGAAAGTTGGGAGCCGCTGTATAAGCCGTTCGGACGACTTGGACAGTCCTGGCGAGTTTTGTTGTAAAGTCATATACATCGCAGTAGTTCCTCGATAAGGAATTAGAACTAGCCGGATATGCAGTACCCCAGCCCCTCGATTTTGGAGTCGCTGTCGCGAAGGAAAGCAAAAGGAACGCATTGCAAGAATTCAAAAATGTATTTCCCCTGCCGGGAGTCGAACCCGGGCCGCCGGTGGTCAAGTATCTTGAAAAACCGGTATCATAGCCGTTAGACTACAGAGGACTTGTTCTAGACCCCTGCTAATGTAACAATATATTCTGCCCTGCACCAAGCGCTCAATAATACTACTACTAGTACAATTACTCTTCCATTCCTTCGTCGTTCGTCAAGACATACATGAAATCCGTCCGCATAGAGATCTTTATCCCCCTCGAAACCTCTTCTCCACTATGAGCCATACCGTTCTGCTCAAATATGAGAACCCTCCCGGTACGTGCTGGGACGTCCAACGTATTCTTCTCTGGGGACATGGCACTGAACATATCCGGTAAAGCGAAGAATCGGGTGGAGCCTCCTTCCAAGGATGCTTCGTCTCCATTGATATATATTTGGAGAGTATAATAGGACACTTCGCTGCCGTCCGGGGTATGATAGGCCCCATCACAGTGAGGCTGTATGACCAAATGAGAACCGGACGGTGAGAAAATGAGGATCAGATGCATACCTTAAAGAATTCCCCTCGCCCATATCTCAAGAAACGCAAACGCTCGTTTAGACGAAGCAAACGTGCTTTCTTTGGGCCTCTCCTCTGAGTTCCATGAGTCTTGAATGTCTGGATCTCAGCGATCTCGGACAAATATGGTCGAAGCTTCTCAAGGATCCAATTTGCGAGTTCGTGATCGTCGATCATCTTACGACCGCTGTTCCGATATGTAGTGTCCGTGTACTCATGGGTGCCTCCATTGATCTGCGCTACTTCCCAATTCTCCTCTGACAGAAATACTCCAGCAGCCGCGAGAAGTTTGTCACAGTCTGCCTGCGTGAACAGGTTGTCTATGACCAACGCGAACTTCTTGGCATACTCCGGCATTCCATAGGATTCAAAGTCGACCTTCTGAGCCTTTATGGGAGCAGGTGTATTGTCATTGGTCGACTGAGGCGGTTCGGGGTAGACATAGTGGACAGGTTTCGGAGGCTTCGACCTTTTCCTGAACGAGTACATGGGAAGCCAGGGCAAGAGGTAACATCGCGGATATTGTTAGGGTTACCTTCTTATATTGACAGAAGTGAGAATCGCAGTTGCACAGCTTCCAGGGCAAACATCTGGCCAAAGCGTGGAGGCGCTGTAGAAGGCTATTCGGCAACGGCCGCCTTACCGATGACTCCTGAATGTGCGGGCTCTGTCAGGGCGTATCTCACCGCCGCTTGAATCCCGTTACAGTTCAGCCACTTATTTCAGTGGTGGTACTCGCATAGTGATCGTCGTCGAGCGGCACTTATAAGTGGGGACGCTTATATGCAAGCGATCTGTTAGAAAGAACCTCGTCGTCCTGCTGTTGTTAACTATGAGCCAATCTCACGATCCAGAATCCATTCAAGGCTCAAGCACTCGCCGAGTTTCGCATGCTAGGAAGGCTTGCAACGTTTGCAAGAAGAGGTTAGAAGCTTATACTCGGCGTCTAAGGGGATGTGCTTAACAAGGATCTTGGTTTAGGAGAGGCAGATGTGATGGCGAGAACGGTCAAAAAACATGCAGTTACTGTCTTAAGCATGGTCACGACGTGAGTCCCTCTTGAATTCCGGGTCCACGAATAACTGAACACATGTGTATATAGTGCAGCTTCAACCCTAATGACGCACGAGGTCCCGCCTGGAACAAGCAGACAATGGAGGCGTACCGGGTGGCAGTGGAGAGTCTTACAGCAGAGAACTTGGCTCTTCGTTCTGAGCTGAACAGGGTCAAAGACTCAAAGACTGGTGTTGTTTCTGGACCAACGCAATCAGAATCAGCATCCATCTCGGAGACGGCTAGTGTGGACGACGAGCTGGCGAAAGTATGCGATCTGATAGATCGTCGACTAGTCGTACGTTTCGAGTGATCTACTTTCCTCTTTTGGAAACTGATGAAGTCGCAAAGTTGCAAGACAACCATCGACTTGTTTTGCATGGCGATTGGTCTCCTTTCGTCAAGCTGGGTCCATCTAGTCCTTCGAGCCCACCTGTCACCGAAGAAGAAGACCACCCACTCCCTATCCGTAGTTCACCAGTCGGCTACATCGACCACCTCGCCATCCTCCACTCGACTGATCGCCAAGCATGGCGACGGTTCCTTCCTCCCAACGCCATCCTGACATTGCCTGGGCAAGACATGTATGATCCTACTGAACACGACAAGTGGGTCCATCTACCTCGTATACAATTATGGTTATAACGTCGATGCCACAGACTTCTTAACTTATTCTTCCAATTTTTCTCATCATGGGGCTTCCGCGTCTCGCCCTCATTATTCTGGAGGGACATGCGCGAAGCTCTCAGTCCTCATGCCCCACCATCCGCTCTCCGTACCGCTCACTATTCCCCTTTCCTCCATAATTCCATCCTTGCCATTGCCACCGCATTATCAGACTATCCTCAGATCAAAGCAGATGCCAATCGGCTAATGTTTGCCGATGCGGCAAAGTCGGTCTTTGAAGATGAATGTAAACGACCTACCATTTCCACCGTTTCGGGATTCTCTTTCTTGTCATCTTTTCATTCCGGAAGGAATGAGCATGCACTTGGGTTTGTTTATATAGGGCTGAGCGTTCGAATGACTCGAGCTTGTGAGTGGAGCCCCTTGGGCCTAAATTTCATGTGGTTTACTAACTTCATGCGCAGTGGGACTTAATATTAATTGCAGTCATTGGGTGAAGTCAGGTCACATCACGCAGTCGGATATGCGGGATCGCTACTGGGGTTTCTGGACTACGTATAGCCAAGTACGTCTCGTCAAGAAATTTCATTTGGCGCTCGGCTCACATTATGTCAAGGACGTCTGGTGGTCCCTATACGTAGGACGAGAATTTAGCATCAATCTTTCTCACGTTGTACTCCCGCTACCCTCATACGACAACCTTCCTGAAGACGATACGCCATGGGTACTACCTGGCATCGATGAAACTCCCATTCCAAATCTACGACGAGACGTCTTCATCCATACTTGTAGACTCACGGTCATCGCCACCCGGATCATGGATCTTATGTACGTAATGAACCGACGATGTGAACAAGGTTTTAATCTGATCTTCTGCGTAGTTATGGGCTCAATCGCCGAAGTGGGCCCAGTCACCAATACTTGTCAACATTGAGGTATTTACTTATTCAACGTCGATAAACCGGAGGCTCAAAATATTTGCAGGTTAGAGATCCAGGATTGGCTCCAAAATATTCCGCCGGAACTGGCTGCTACAGATCGGGCAATACCCAATGTGATGATGATGCATATCACGACATGGTGGCTCATCATTCTACTGGAACGGCCGTTCTACAGCTTCGATCCTGATTGTGTATCTCGAAAGGTTCGCTGTCGTTTCTATATTCCCTCGGTTCTTACTTACGGCCGATATGATAAAGTGGTGTCTCCGAGCAGTCGACCATATTCTGAAGATTGTCAGAAACTGGAAGATTCACTATACCTTGCGATACAGCCCGATCACGCTCGCCAGTGCCATCTTCGGTGCCGCTACCACCAACCTCCTTGCCATTTCCAAAGCTCCTCCGAAGGCTGCAAAGACGCGCGAAAAATATCGCGCTGGTGTCCAAGAGTGTGTCCACTATCTGCAGGATATTGGAGAGACCTGGGAGTGTGGGAAGCAGATCGCCCAGATTCTTATAGACCTTCTCAACGAAAAGGGATGCTCTGTTGTGCCGGAAGACGATAGTCCAACGGGATCAATTCCGTCAGAACAAGCTGGAATGTGAGTTGGACAGGCTGTTACGTTAGCTTGGCAGCTAAACCTCTTGACTGGAAGGTCTAATAAATGGGGATTGAAAGACGCGGTGCCAAGCATCCAACTGAATCAACCATCTTCCCAATACCAGTTCATGCAGTACACCAATTCCTTGCAACATGTGCCCAATTGTTTCCCCATCACGTCCACAGACAACGGACAAGTACCGGATTTTCCTCAATATCCCAACACTTTCAACGCCCTGATGGAGTCATTTATTCCAGGCACCTCGGCCGATTTCTGTAGCCGAAGTGGGGAGGGTATTTCCAACATTCCATTCACTAGCCCGGTTCTTGGAACGTTACCGCAATGGGATGCGGGACTGGATTATATCGACAACGATTTTGACTTCGGCTTCGGAGGCGACACTCATGCTTCCAGTATGGAGCATAACTATTCGGGGTTCCATTAGTGGCGTGTGATATATTTTAGTCGATTTCTTGGGTTAGTCGGTGCATATTACGGGTCTCCAGTATATATAGGCTGGTTAATAGTTGTATTTGGGTCATTTGTACTGTATAGTAAACATTTCAGGGTACATAGATTCTCACGGTTCGCACTGCGCTGTTGTTCTGACTTGCCTAAGCTGTGCTGGCTTGTTTTCGATTCACATATTAGTAGGTTGAAGAGGAATCGGCATACACTTCGGCACTCCCTCGCTGCGGTCCTTTGTCAACACCCGGTCAAGTTGCCACCGGCGAAGAGTGGTATAGAGCATGGACGAACTGCACACATCGGGTCGGCTCTATTGTTGACTTTGTTCATCCAAGGTAATACCCCGGCTCTCTCGCAGACGAGAACAAGGTAATGGCCTGCGGAATAAGTGCCAAGGTGAAGTGACTCCGTGCCAATTACTCCCACCGACTCATTTCAGGACTCTCTTTCCTGCGATCTGCCGGACAATATCTAAGGCCCACGTCTGTCAAGTCTATAAAGGCACTCAATTTCCCGTCTTTGTTGAGCTGGGCTTCCTCAACCGACGATGTCGCTGCCATTGGGTAATATCCCGCATGAGTTGAAGCTTCTCATAATTTCTCAGTTCACCACCTCAATAAATTGCTCCCCAGCACTGTCTAGGACTATCGGTGGCACGATACGGATCAAGGAGTTGTGGATTAACAGGTCTCATCGTCGACGTGGAGCGGACGACCAAGGGTTGGTTATCTGTGAGATGCCAATGTGTGATGAGATGCGAAGTAGAGATGGGGGGTTGGATCTTACAATGCTATCCGCCATCGTTGATCTGTGAGATTTTCGTCATCCTTTGTTTTATGCCTATCTGAATTTTAATCA